GGGGGTCAGGGCACCAAATCAGGGGGCTGGGAGCGGGGATGGGGCCAGGGCACTGAATCAGGGGGCTGGGAGCTGCACCAAGGGGGTAGGGACAGGGGACAGGAGTGGAGGGCCAGGAGCAGGGCTGTGGGGGTCAGGGCAGGGAGGAAAGGGGATGGGAGCAGGCTCGGGAGCACAGCAGGTCCCTGTTCTGCCCCTTAACCCCCACACCCAGGCCTTCAACAACCTGGAGAACCTCATCTTCGGGAAGGGATTCCAGGCCAAAATATTCCCCGAGAGTAAGTGCTGTGGGGGAGTGGGAACACATCGGTGTCCAAAGGCCTGTGAGGGGGGGTGGTTGTGCTCCAGTGGTGGGACTGGAGGGTCCCAGCCCTGCCCTGGAATCCTGGGAGCTCCCCCTGAGCTTTTCCTGGGCTGTGGGGGGGTTTGTGGCACCTGGGGCCCCCCCAGCACCTGGGGCAGTGCAGCAGCGTTGTGTCTCTCCTGGTTCTCCGCAGTCCTCACCTGCCTGTTGCTGGCCCTGTTCGCCTCTGGCCTCATCCACCGGGTCTGTGTGACCACCTGGTACGTCCAGAGCTGCTTCAGAGGGTGGGGAGCAGCTGGAGGGACCCTGAGGGGTCACAGAGGGCACTGGGAGGGGAGCAGGGCACTGGGAAGGGCTGCCAGGGACCCTCGGGGGACCGGTGAGCACGGTGGGATGTGAGGGGAGGGTGTTTCAGAAGGGCAGGAGAGTGGGATCCAAGGGAAAAGTGTTTGGGAGGAGCAGAGTGGCCTACGAGGGGAATGTACTTAGGAAGGGCAGCACAGTGGAATCCAAGGGGAAGGTGTTTCAGAAGGGGAGGAGAGTGGGATCCAATAGGAAGGTGTTGGTTGAGGAAGGGCAGGGGAGTGAGATCCAAGGGGAAGGTGTTTCAGAAGGGCAGGAGAGTGAGATCCAAGAGGAAAGTGTTTAGGAAGGAGCAGGAGAGTGAGATCCAAGGGGAATGTGTTTTTTGAAGGGCAGGAGAGTGGAATCCAAGGAAAAAGCGTTGGTTTAGAAAGAGCAGCACAGTGAGATCCCAGGGAAGGTGTTTAGGAAGGGCAGTACAGTGGGATCCCAGGGAAGGTGTTTAGGAAGGGCAGAGGAGGGGGATCCCAGGGAAGGTGTTTAGGAAGGGCAGTACAGTGGGATCCCAGGGAAGGTGTTTAGGAAGGGCAGCACAGTGGGATCCCAGGGAAGGTGTTTAGGAAGGGCAGAGGAGGGGGATCCCAGGGAAGGTGTTTAGGAAGGGCAGCACAGTGG